ACAAACACTTAGAAAATAATATTTCGAATGAAATTGTTTTATTTGAACTGCGAGAGCATCCGGCGCGGATTTGTACATGTTCCATGCTCCCGTACGGAGTAGGTTCGGAGCTAGTTCCAACTTATTGACTCTGCTGGGGAACAGTAGCGCCGCAAAGCAAATGCAGAATTAAAAGTTGATTTACTGTAGATGGGGTGAGAAGGCCTGAGGATAGGAGGGGTGAGGATAAGGGATGGAGAATGCTGGGGTTGGGATGAGGGATGAGGATGAGGAGAAGAGGCCTGCAGGGATGATGATGGGAATGAGGAGGCGGGGATGGGTTTGAGGATGAGGGAGGCTCGGGGTAAGATGAAGGAAAAAGAGGCTGGGGTGAGGATGGGGATTAAGGATGAGCGAGGGCTTGGGGGATGTGAGGCTGTGGAATGATGGGCATGCTGGGGGATGAAGGATGAGGGGGGATGAGGAGGCTGGGGGATGAGCGATGAGGATGAGGAGAGCTGGGCAGGAAGAGGAGCGAAGAGGAGGCTGGGGTTGGGGGTTCTGAAGATAAGAACTATGGAGCGCTGGGGGTATTGAGGATTTAAGAATGAGGAGGCTTGTGGCGATGGGATTGAAGATACAGATATGGAAAGCTGGTGCGATGAGGATCAAGAATGAGGAGGCTGGGCGGTGAGGACCGCAGGGAGATTAAACATTGAGGAGACTAAGGATACAGTAAAGAGGTTTAGAGCGTTAAAGAATAATACTGTGAAAAAGACAGGAAGTTGTGATTTGATGTTCAAGTTGCGAAAATAAAAACGCGAACAAAGCGCCGACTGGACTGGCTGGACAATCCACGCGAACAAAACTCACGCGATCGAATCGCCTACGCACGCACGCACCGCACGCACACAACAACACCAACCCACACACACACACACACACACCACACACACCATCACACACCACACTAACTCACACCACCACACACAGCACACGCAGCGGCGCGCACACCACACTCGCGACGCACGCACGCACACAGCACCGCGTGCTAACACGCGACACACTGCACGCACCGCACGCCGT